AGTGCCGGTCAGTTTCAATTGATCGAAAGATGTATTTTGGCTAGGCAGAGCACGAACTAGACATACATCACATTCGAATATTCATATTTTGTAAGGTCCACTCATTCGATCGAGCTCAGATTAGATCCAGTTCAGTTTAAGTCAGTCTATTTTGGAAAGTTTCCAAGCACTTTCTATTACAAATATTTGAAACTGTAAAAGTGCGAATTCCGATAAACTTTGAGTTTTCTATCAGGTCATCGATCTTGCCATCCGATAAAAGTTCTCTTTTGCTACGAAGAAAAAGATGCTTTGAGGTGAATTGTTTTGATTCCTTAAATCAAAAAGTTGCCAGAGGATTCTATCAGATGTTTTTCAAACCAATGATTTCTAGTCGGAATGAACTATATTCTCTGTTATGAGATTCCTTGTAAATTTCTGCGATTTCTAACAAGAATCCGACTGTTAAAAATTTTTTGCTCTAAGCCCATTCCAATCTGAATCGTAGTCAGTTTAAATTTGATGTGTGCCTACCATAGATCAATATTATCGTCATTGAGTTTCATCGGAAATAGTTTGTCTCGGTGACGCGTTGCTCTTTCATTGATATTTGTACTTCAAAATATTTTAGACAACCACATCGATGTCAAGTAGCACGAACATTCCAGTTACTACCCACATTTCGACCAATTCGACCAATGTAGCGACTACCAATGCATCGAACAGTGCTGTTGGAGTGGCTGTCAATTGGACTTATGCTGATGGTATGACGAGCGCACATATGTCAGTCATGAATCTCAAAATATCTCAATGGTTGGCTGTCGGTCTTTCACTTGACAGATACATGGTAAGAGAAATAGTTATCTTAATGAATTTCTCACAATGTTTAGATATCAACTTTTTCTCACAGAGTGATGATCACCTCTTCGTATGCCGTCATTTAGCAGATGACTCGTTTATTCTGCTACGCTATGTCAATCCTAGTGATTATGCGACTCCACAGGCCGTTGCCGAGAACGTCAATCTAGGTGGTATATTCACATTAACTCGACAGCGAGTGGAAGATGGCATCGCATACTTTGTTTTCACTCTATCGAATTTTTCTAGTAGCGTCGGTCGTCAACGACGTCAACTTGGTGTCACTCCACTATCTCAAACAGTTGAGTATTATCCACTCATCGCTTACGGAAAAGTAGATAGCTCAAGTGAGTAATACGTGAAATCAGTCTCTCTTAAAGTAACATTATTCTTGTCACTCAAACAGATATTCTCACAAAACATGCCAGCGACTCTCGATTTGCTCAATCAACTACAGTAAAGTTAAATCGAGCAGACAGTATCATATATAATTTCCAAGCGTCAGGCAATGATACAACCAAGTTGATGAAAGCACATGGTATCATAATGGTATTCATTTGGATTCTATTCGTTTCAACTGCCATTCTCTTTGCTCGATATTGCAAGCAATGCTGGCCCGATCGAAGAATATGTAGTAAACCTATTTGGTTTGCAGCACATCGAGCGATAATGCTTTTTGCCGCTGGATTAACAGTAATTGGCTTTGTGCTTATTCTTATCTATAAAAGTGGCACATGGGTATCACGCAATCGCACTCGTGAATTTGTCCATTCGATTCTCGGCATTATTGTCATAAGTGCTAGTGTTATTCAACCATTCATGGCTCTATTTCGGTGTAAACCAAATGATAAAAATCGTTTTATATTTAATTATGCACATGCTAGTGTCGGGTTAATAGCTTTCATTCTATCGATCGTGACTATTTTTTTAATCATGTTCTCTACACAAATCAGTTTTCAATTTGAAAATGCATGGAACTTCTTAGTAGCATGGATCTGCTGGATTGTAGTGATCTTTGCCGTTTTCGAATGTGTTGACCGTTGCTTACATGACAAGCAGAAGTCAGAAGAAAAAAATGAAACCCATTGGATGGATATTCATACTGCTGAGAATGAAGTAAACAAAGTTGATGATTCTTCTACTAATGAACTTTTTATCAAGGATCGTGTTAAAACAGTTCTTCTTGTTGTTCACTTTCTTGTCGCACTGGGTCTTTCGTTAGCTCTGGCTATTGTGATTGGACAATCGTCTTAATATGAATTCATACCGTTATGACAGACAGATTTTGTTCATTTCTCCACTTCTTTACCATATATCTCTCATTTACGAAATTACAACTAAAAATTTATACAGCATCTCTACTGAATTCAGCTGTCAAAAAAAAACATACAATGGTGTATTTAATATTATTCTGAATTTTGAAGAAGAAAAGAGCTTCATTTCAAAAAGAAATCGGAGATTAGGAGGTCTTTAGGAGTATTCATACAAACAAATACTTTCATATTGCTATGTATACATATGAATAATTATACACACCTCGAAAACCCCCTAGTTCAGCATCTTCCAATAATGATGTTTATAACTAGATACATATGGATAATGTGAAATAATCAGGAGACCATTCATATTCAGGAACAGAAATGTGGAAGAAGCGTTTTGGGCCAGATGTTTTGCCTGGCGTTTGAAAAGATCCTTGGTGTCAATGAACGTCATGAAGTGATAGAATTAGATCATAGTGTCAGAAGGCAGTAGAAACACGTTGTTGTCTATTTTCATGTTTTATTTCGTCATGAAGAGAGAAATAATTGATAGACATCGTGTCGATGGGATACTGTCATGCTCGAACCTTCAGGTGGGTGGGCCAGTTTTCTAGCCTCTCTAACCCTCCTTCATAAACAAAAATAGAGTGTCTTTTTTTTTATTCCAAAATGCAGTTTGAAACCAATAGGTCCATGGACTCGAAAAAAGATGGACCGACTTCACATTGATAAAGCAGACACATACAGTTAGAAATACTATCTAAAAAAACATCGATACTTTTTTAGAAACAAGTCTTCTGCTGAACAGAAATGATGCACCGATGAACAATATATTAGTGACAAATCATCAAAAATCTTTATAAACATCAATATTCAATCATAGAGGTTCATCCTTTTTTGATAAGGAAAGACTGTAGACTGGGGTTCAGTTTCACATAAGTATATCAAATATTTGCCTTTAGACAATTGTGTCAAAATCATACGTATGATTCACATTTTTGATAGAGTACATGATCACATCTTTCTAGACTTCTAGTACATATGGTGGATGAAATGCACTAGAATGAGCCTAGTGTCTCCTACCATATATATGTATATGAATAGTTCTCATGCATGAAAACACACGCTCAGCAGCAGAAATACATTTTGAAAACTGTAGTAAAATAAATTTTGCTTTATCAACATGTAGTTGGTTTTGAAAATACAATTCGATTCAATTTAAAAAGCGCGTGATATTGAATGATTATGTCACTGCTATCTCATTTTGCTTTACTAAAAATTTCTTTTGAGAATTAAATAACAGAAATATTTTTTCAAACATCAGAAAACGAGAGCTTATCATGAATTACACATAAAAAACGAGATAATGAAAAATTTTAAGCAATTGTTGATGATTCTTGTCGACGTTTAGCAACATAAATTCGATGATTGGTACAAGAAATACAATACACATATTGATCATCAGAAACTAAACATTGTTTAAATTAAACTTAGAAAATTCGAATATTAATTTCTAACCTGTAAATCGTTTAAATGTCATTTGATCTGTTGGATGTACACTTATTCTTAATGCACATAAAACCATTTTATAAATTAAATTTGCAGAATTTTCATTATTTTGTAAATCACCATGGCTATGCTCAATTGAACCATCTTCAGTCATAATTAAATATCCGACACAATCGGGAACATTATCAAAAACTTTGGCTAGAGAACTCATCTAAAATTTTAGAAATAAACATCATCAAATCTAGTCGATTTTTATTTATCGTTCGTACGCATATTGTTGAGTTTCACATTATTAACTATGATATCAACCCTAAGTCTAATTAAATCCCATATAGGAATGATATCAACAAAACTATCCTTATTAACTAATTTAATTAAATGATTTTGTTGTAATTTATGTAGTTCATATCATTTAGAAAAAGAGAGATAACTAAACAATTGGTGATGCAACACTTGATAGAGTTATCAATTGTATATAATAACTTAGATGAACAATATCTGATCTTACATAAAAAAATAATAAAAAAAATACATTTAAGTTGATTTCATATTTATTTTTTCTTTTTGTCATTCATCAAAACTTTTAAAATAACATTGTCATGCAAAAATTCTTGTTTTACAATGATCTCTATTTGCAGATTGAGGTGTTCTCTTAAATACATTGTTCTTCAAAAAATGAATCAATTTGATTACACTATTCGATTAGTATATCGATAAAAAAATTGTGAATAAATATACTTATGATTTATCGATAATGATTATGTTTTGAAGAATAAAGGCACAATAGCACATTGATTATTAGTGGTGCACATACATACAAGCAGGCTGTGGGTGTGGGCTTTCTCTTCAGCTATACCCACATCAACACAATACTAATGGCAGTGTAACAGCTTGACGATCTTTGTGTTATCGTAGATGATAATAGCCTCATTAGGGGTATGCACAAATCAATTAGGAATTGATTCGAAACTAGTCCTATGTATATATCTATGTCCCAATTCTCAAAGGGTTAAGTCCTATCAAAAGTAACGAGATCTAGAAAGAAAATTTTTTTTAAATAGGATTCATTGATTTTCTAAAGCAATAACATATTTGATTCTAGAACGTTTCGTTCGTTGTTAGTTTTTATTTTTCTTATAATTTGATCACGTATAAAAAAAGCTCGACAATTCTCATTTTCTTTTTTGTTTTTAAGGTTTAATTTATCTCATTGTATGACAAAAAAAGTCTAATTTTTTTTCTGTTTCTGTATACAAAAATGAATGAATATTTTTTCTTCTCTGTCATAGTTGATAAATTCCCAGATAAAACGAAAAAGTTGTCTTGATTTTATGGCTAAAACAAAAACAAACATTTTTCAAACGACAAGTACAACAAACAATATATGAAGTTTATTTAATTGCTGTTTGTTTTCGAAGATGTTTCTTGTGTTCGTTGTCGAACTTTTGTAAGATAAGCTCGTAATTGTTCAGCTAATTGAGCACGTGGAATTTCAAACTAAATCATCAAATAAAGACAAAAAATATCAATTTGTTTTTTTTTTTGAAAAGATTGAAAAACAAAAAGTCTTACTTCTTCTCTTGTTTCAACATCACGAATTTTTACTATTCCAGCTTCTAATTCTGAACTACCAATAATTACACATAGTTCAACTTGATTTTTCTCACAATATTGTAATTGATCAAGCATTTTTGGATTACGTTTCAATGCCATTTCTGCCTAAAAATACGAATAATAAAAAAGAAAATATTTTCAATATTTATATTCTATCATTATAAATCAAACCTTAAAACCATTTGCCCATAAATAACTACATAATTTCATACGTTCTTCAATTAAATTCTTTTGAGCTGATGCAACATAAACTTCAGTTTCAATTGTTTTTGTTTGAATTTTTGATTCATGCATTTGATGTTCTTTAATTGCAAATATTCTTTCAACACCAATACTTGCACCAATACATGGTACACGTCGTTGTCTTGGATCAATTTTGTGAACAAGTTCATCATATCGTCCACCACCAGCTACACTTCCAACAGCAACTTGATCATCACCTAATTGTGGATCATATTGATATTTAGTAAGAACAGCTTCAAAAATAACACCAGTATAATAATCTAAACCACGAGCTAATTTTAAATCGAATGTTATCTAATAACAAAATAAATAATTTCTGTTAGCACAAAAGAAAAGAAAACTTCAAGGTATTTTTATCTTTACTTTATCCATAACTCCATATAATGTTAAATAACGAAAAAGTAATTCAAGACCTTTTAATGCTTCACTAGCATATTTTATTGCCATTAATTGAGCATCAGTTCGAAGTTTATCGATTAAATCAGCATTACCTATTAAATAAAAAGATTATTCGAATTGAATTAATAGGATATATATTTATATAATATACCATGCATTTGAACATAACTCCAAATTTTATCGGCTACCTCTGGTGATAAACCTTTTTCATGAATCATTTCATTGCGAACAACACTCCATGGTGTCTAGAACAAATGAAATATTTTTTTTTTCGTTAAAAATTATAAATAAATATATATTGTATACTTTATCAAGTTTATCAACAGATGAACTTATTGGACGAAAGTGTGAATCTGGAACACCACATACAGCAAAGATAGCATCGAGTAATTTGCGGTGATTAACCTATAGAAATGACAAATGATTGTGTAATAATATTAGCTTTGAAATCAATAAATTAAATCTATTCATTCTTTATCTTGTTCAAATATTCTAATCTTTTCTTTCGCATGATTAAATAGAAAGATAAAAAATCCAAACTTTTCTATTCATACTTAATACACATAGAACAGTTAGAAAACATGAATTTTGCAATAAAGACTTTCCTTAGTGGTAATAAGTTCAGTCTTCCTAAGAGTGAAAGTCCAATAGAAACACAAGTTTTCTCAAGACCAAAAGTCTGGATTAAGTCATAAATTTACTAATTAGGATGAGGGTGTGATTATGCATTTCAGCCACACCCACATCCTTTTAAACAAAATGAAAAATACGCTTAAATAAATAAGAAAATTCTTACATAGACTTTATATTGTCCTAAATCAAGTTTATCAAGAATTTCCACAACAATTTTGATACATTCTGCATCAGCTACCATTAGGTCAAAATCACCGGCTATATCAAAATCACATTGATAAAATTCTCTATAACGACCACGTGTCATTTTTGGATTGTCACGTCGATAAACTTTTCCTATATGATATCGTTTCATAGTTGCAATTCGATTTTCTGCTATATAACGTGCAAATGGTACAGTTAAATCATAACGTAAAGCTAATTGTTCTGCACCGCCTTGATCTTTTAATTCATAAATAAGTTTTGAATCTTCACCATATTTTTCTGTAAGAAGTGACTAAAAAATAAAAATAAATAAAACATACAAATCCTTTCTTTCTCTTCAACAAAACCGATGATTTCATACTGTAAGCTCCATAACTGGTGTATCGATTGTTTCGGCACCATGTTGTTTAAAACAATCAGTAATTATTCGAAATACTTCCTCGCGAATTTTCATCTGACTTGGATGGTAATCTCGTGTACCCTAAATCAAAAGTTTTCATCATTAAAATTCTTTTACTAACAATAGAAAACTTACTCGAGGAGTTTTAAGAAGTTTTTCACCACCAGTCGATGGTTCTTCACCATTGGTTGCTTGATGATTAGCCAGTTCCTTTTTTAAACTTATTAATTTATTGACAGCTTCAGTGATCTATTTAAATAGATGTTCTAAATATATACTTAGTTAATAATGAAATAACAAACCTGTTCAGATGAAGCTTTATCAGCTTTTAGTTTTCTCACAAGATCACCTTGTATTTTGATTAAATCATTAAGATCATTGTCAGTTATTGATAGACCAGTTGAGATTGCTGATGCTAAATTCGTTGTCATATCCGAGTTTGTTGCTATGTCTTTTGATATAAATATATTCTGAACGAATATATATATCTAAAAGTGTATTGACCCAATTAAATGATGAAAGAAAATAAATATATCTGATGCAATCGACCAACATAGTAAGTATGTGATGATTTCCGATTACAGCAATAAAAGCAAATTTTCATGAGAAAATTTTTGTAATTACTTATTTTGAAAGAATATAAAAAAGAAAATAAGTTTTAAGAATTGTTTTCTTCATTTTGGAGTGAGGTCTCTGTTTCATGTGAATGGTTGTTAGCAACCAATCGGTTGCAATCTTCAAGTGACGCGTGTACAAATGGTGATTGTAGAAACGAACGAAAACGTGCGTCGCCGAGTATCAATTGATAGCAAAGAAATGTTATTTATATTTTCAGTTATGCTTGATTGAGCTATTGATCATATTTTTTTTTCTTGTCGATATTTATTCAATATATATATTTATAGACTATTTTACTTTTCTTTTCTGTGGTTGGTCATAGAGACACTCCAATTGTCCTTGTTTTCATACCTTACACGTCGTTAATTTTTTTTCTTTCTGAATGTGTCTCATCAATCCTGTTGTAGTTGAGGCATTTTTAGTATTAATAAACAATATTGTTTTATTCAATGTTAAAACCAGAACGAGTAACATTTTCTGCTGACGATGATGAATTTAATCAGTTTACAAATAATGATCAATTAAAGTCTTTTCTTAATGATTCTCTCGTTCATTATTCAACAGATTTTATAAAAAGTGATCAACAAGAATCAACATCTATTAAACATTCAAATTCCTTAGACCAATTTTCATCTATAACAATGTCTAGTCAACAAGAACAACAAGAACAATCAGAAACTAAACATGAACCATCAATATCAGCACCACCATCTTTAATCTCAGAAGAAAATCCAATTCTTAATGAAAATAATTTACATCAATTTGATGCATTAACATTACAACAATTAGCTATTGGTACACATCAAAATTTTTCAAATATAAATGAACATGATATAGAAACAAGTCCATCTCATTCCATATCATATACTGATATACAAAAAGAAGTTGATCGTGTAAGACAAATGAAATATGGTCGAACATTTTCATCACCAACATCATCACTTTGTACACGATTAACAGTAAATCCATTTAATGGAACAAATAATAATATTAATTTATCATCACTAACACAATCAGTTCATTTTTCTGAAGAATCAAATCAAACAAATTGTCTTCCATTTTCATCAACATTTATAACATCAATACCAGAATCAATTGTACCAATATCTGTTGTACCATCAACAACAGATGATAATCATTTTATACCAATACATCATATTGAATCACCATCAATAGAAGATCGTGAAGTATTTGAAACATTTCATATCAAACAAACTCCTGTACCTGGTATAGCTATACGACAATCAGTTAATTCATTAAATCGTAATATGTCAACATCAGAAACAGATTTAATTGCATCATTACATCGTAGTGAAAGTAAACAAGGTTTAGATAATCAATCTGAACATGGTACAACATATAGTGGTGTATCAGATGATATGATATTTAATGAATGGGATAAAGAACGTAATTTATTTCAAGATTATATTAATTCATTACGTACAGAAATTCGTGTACTTTTACAAGAACGTTCTGAATATCAAAAACAAATTGAAACAATAAATAATAATTTAAGTGAACATAAACGTTTAAATTTAACACAAGGCAATAGTGATCAAACAAAATTTGAACTATTAAAAAAATCTTTAGAAGAAAAAAATCTTGTTCTTGAACAATTACAAAAAGAATATGAAATAATTAAAGAAAAAAATACAAATTTAACAAGAAAAATATCTGTTTTACGTTGTGATGCTAAAGCACAAACAGGTGTTATTGATGAATTAAAACAAAAAATAGCTGAATTAACTGTTGATATACAAAATCATATTATTGTTAAACGTCGTTTAGAAATTTCAATGATGACTTTAGAAAGTGATTGTAAAATGATTGATACTGAAAGAATACGTTTAACTAATGATATTAAAGATGTTCAATTGAGTAAACAAGATTTAGAAAAATTATTACAACAAGCTAATGTACAAATTGCTGAACAGGGTAATTTTATTAGAAAAAAAAAAATTTTTTTCTTCATCTAAAAAAAAAAAGCAAAACTAAGTTTTCAGTAGTATTTTTCTTAAGAAATATCAATGAATATAGAATATCGGTAATTACAAAGCATTTTTATTTGTTCCCCGTCATGGTTATCAAATGATGATAATTGAAGTAAAGACCGATTCTCTACTTCATATATCGGCACGGCCAAGCGTTACGGAATTTCATTTTTTCAACTTGTGAGATAAATATCTTCTCAATAACAAGAGAAATGCTTCTGAAATTTTGGGCATACATAAAGGTAAACTAGCTCTGTGAGCACTGAAAATCTCATGGAGTTATCACAAGCCATGGCGAAATTATTTGAAAAATATCGTTCGTTACGGAATTTCAAAAAATGGACAAAATTTTTAGGGATGACTCACATTTTAGCATTTTTATACGAAACTAAGCTACTCATAAATGAACGTTCTATACAAAAGTTGTTCAGTTTTTCACATACTCTTAGAATATCATATCATTTTCGCCTTAGGACAATCCCTTCGAGTAAGCTAACTTAAAAGGCTGAGCGTTACGGAATTTCAAATGTTATGGAATTTCACCAATTTTCTCTTTTTCCACGGAGGACAGTTTAGTGCCATTTTTATGATAATTTTACCTGTTTAATCTAACCTTTTTTGTTCCATAACGATTAAGAATATTGTTTTATATAAATCGATTGGTTTATTTTCATCTTCTTTTGAAAATTTCATTGAAAATTCCATTCATTATTTTGACAAAAATGAAAGGTTAAAAAGTGAAAAAACAGTGAAATTTCGTAATTATTCGTGTTTTTAAACTCGTAGGAAAGAAAAATGATATTGGTTTTATATGTCAGCTGTGTAACTCGGAATACGGAACAAACTTAATAATATTTCAAGATCACACTCTCTATAACAAACTTTTTTTTCTGAATCTTACTGATTTCGAACCTTCCCCAACGAAGGGGACCGATGGCTGGCCGTGCCGATATCAACTTTAAATATAAAGAAATATTCGAGAGTTTCATCTGTAATTATATAAAGAATGAAGATTCTAATTATGTGAAGGAAACATCATTCAATAATATGATACTACAAAATGTTCTTCTAAAAATCGTAAAACAATTTGGGTTTCTATTGATATTTGACTAAGCAATCAAATTTTTTTCTAGACGTTTTCGGCTTTCACAATATTCATACTTTCGAACTTTGGTATGAAACTTTATGCATATAGAGAACTCAACTGAAACAGCTGCGATTAGGAAATCAGAAGTTTTGAACAGTCGCTTCAAAATATAGAACCTTTTCTACATAAAGTGTATATAATATGTATTTTTTGAAAGCTTCGTATTTCGAAGAGACTGTTTAAAACTTCTGGTTCTTTTAATGGAAGTTAGTCTAGTTGAGTTCTGTATATGGGCAAAGTTTCAGGTCAAAATTTGATAGCTTAATCAAATTTTAATAGAAATCTAAATCGTTTTAAGGTTTTAATAAGGATACTAGGTGGTATCAAGTCATTGAAATCAGAAGAAGACAGTTGAAGAGGTTCTCGCGTTAGTTGAATGTCGAATTTGTAATTAGATACAGTCAATCTAGAATTAATTAGAGAATTCATATTCAAACTCGAATTTGTCTATAGATTAATGGACGAATTCAGTCAAGATTCAAGTAGTTATAGATAGTTCTCCATCCAAATAGTTCTTGGTTACGAAACGATCGATAACTTTATCAATTCAAATTTATTCGATCGATTGATGTTTGCATTTATTCAAATACTATTGCTTCTTCGCAATACATCTGTAAAAACTAGAATCGAGCATTGAATATTATCTTCTTTTAAACGTTAAACATATCTAAACATTTTTTATAGAATACTTCATCATTTATAAATAAAATTTCATTTTAGGTTCAACTATTGAAATGCTTCGTTCGGATAATATTCAAGTACGTTCACAATTATCTGCAACACAACGTCGAATGTTACAAGAAAAACAACAAGTCATGGATTATCTACGACAAATTGAAAACGATCTTATTGAAAAAGAACAAATAAAACAACGTGAATCTATTTTACGTAAAGATTATGGAAAATTACAATTAGCACAAAAACAAGATCGACAAGAAATTGATCAATTAAATGTACAAATAAATCAACAAAAACAAAAATTAGATCAATTAGAACAAGAACGTTTACAATTATTTAAAACTATTCAAAATATGGATGATAATAAAGTACAATTAGAAGTCGAATTAAATTCCTATAAATCAGCAACAAAACGTTTATATACATATTTTAAAATACCATTTGATTCAATTCAATCTATTGATCAATTAATACCTATGTTAGAAGATCGTTATCGTACAGAACAAATATCACAAGTTAGTTCTTTTGTTTTTTTTTTGTAAGGTTATCTATATTAAAAAAAAAATTTAATGATTTCAGGCTCGTATTCATCATATTCCATTAGTTAAATCAACATCGGATGTTAATCATGAACAAGAAACAGAAGAAATTCGTCAACTTCGACAAGATTTATATTCAATGAATATACAATTAAAACAATTAAATGATGCTAATCAAGCTTGGCAACAATATCAACAAAATCAAATAACTTTATTATGTGATCGATTCAAATTAACTAATATTGATCATCTATCTTTTGAGGATATTATACAACAAATTGAAAATCGTTTTAATATTATTAATAATCAACTTATTGATTTGCAAAATATTAAAAGTAAGTTTTTTTTATTAATTCAATACAATTAATATTATTTTATTTTTGACATAGGAGCTGATGATGGTTTACAAAAAAATATTGATGAAACTCAAATTGTTAGTACACAACTGATGAAAGATG